CTTCGTTTGCTGACCTGCCGGACGAGACATTACGATTGTCACAACCTTCAAGACGACGCAATCGAGATGAAGATCTTCAAGAACGACATGTTCTTCCTCGAACAGATGGTGAGATACAACGCGTTTGGTATCACGATTTGGGAAGGGACTCTCGATGTTTGGTGATTTTGCTAGAGGTAGGAACAACTCCTGATGGTGTTCTGAATATTCTATTCGAAGAAAGTTACGAAGGCCTCAACAATGATCAAATAACTGGGTGGTCTTCCCGCCCTGGTATGGGACACTACCGATGGTTGAGAGGCCCTATCAATCATCTTCGAAGAGAACATAGATCAGAGTATGTGGCGAATACAATTCGTCGCATCATAGATTTCCTCAACATATGATGACCGCTCCTCGTGGAACTCGTCTCTAAAAGGGGGGGTAATGTCATGGCCATAATCATGTAAGCTAATAATTACATATAGAAATAGGTAGAAGTAAGTAAAAGTAGATAAAAGTAAGTTAATTCTATAATATTTAATATAGAAGCTTCCTAGAAACTTTCTAGATGCTGCTTTGACTTCATAGGTGTCTTTAATTGACTTTTTAGATTAGAAACGTGGTCAACAAGTTGGCCATGTGCCACACATGTTGTTAGCTTGAAGATCAAGCTAACTATGTGGCCCTTACGTAGAAAAACTTGCCTTGTAAGTCAAGGCATGTGTCCTACAAAGTCAACACATATTGGAGGTCCTATAGAACGTCGCCACGTAGCTCCTAGTTAGATAGTATATATAGAGACAAGAGTGAAGGCTTCTTCACTCTTGTCAACTCCTTTCTTGCTTCTAGTCCAGGTTCAAGAGTCTTTAGTTTCTTGTCTTGTGGCAATAGCCATTCCAGTTTCCTTTTAATATACCTACTTGTTTATATTTTGACTTATTATATCGAGATAGCCTTTTGGTGTATATTTTCCCTCATCAAGTCTTTGTCCTTGACAAAACTTCATCAATTGAGGCCTAAAGCTATTGAAGAAAGTGATTGAGTACTTGTTTATGATAGCAGTTTGAATAACCAGTAAAGTACTTTGTGGAAGTTTTCAAAATGTTGGTTTAGATCACATATAATGGTAATAGTCTATGATGATACCACATTCATTGAAAGAGTTCAATGTTATAAGATTGAAGATACTTGCTGCTTAGAAGCAAATCAAGATTTTCAAAAGACAAGATAGAAAAATCATTATAGAAGATTATGCTAAAGATATTAATATTTTTGAAGAAGATAATTTTATTAAAATAGATTGTAAAAATAGTAATGAAGAATTTGATGCAAAAAATAAAAAAATGGTGTGATGCCAATTATAACATATGGTTCATTTGGTACATACCAAAAAATACATAGGTTTAAAAGGAGTAGATGTTGTATTATAATACGACTATATAGTAAAAATATAACCAAAATAAATTTTTAATTAATATCTAATCATCTTAATTCAATAAAAATATCTTTTATAAAAATTTAAAGATAGATTTGATAAAGGTCTCTTAGTTTATTTTCTTATTTTAATAGTTAGTAGATTAAAGGTTGATTAATAATTTTACCTTCTAGGTTGTAAAAACCCTTTTATTACCTTAAAAAGCCATAAATTAATAAAAATAAGATAAAAGAGATAAATAATTAATAAGGTTAATACTAGAATTAAATTGATGGTAAGATTGGACTAAAAAATTCCTATGATAGGTTGGATTGATATTCAAAGATCAATTGTTTGTAGACCACGATTGAAATCAAACCTTGAGCTATTAAAATAGCTGCCTAAGTCAAAGTATGGAAGCATTTGTAGATTGAAAATTGAGATTAGAGAGCTAGCTTTGAGCTCATTTTAAAAGCATAAGGTTTTTTTTTATAGAATTTGAGATAACTTTGCAATTATCATTTAAAGTCAAGGTTTGTATTGGTGACTTTGGATTTATGCAATACAATTAGAGCTACCACTCTCGGCTAGTTTGTGCAATTGGTGTCACATCTATATTTAAAAATTTGAAAGTACTTGATTAATTTGGTGTGCTAAATGTACATAAAATTTTATATTAATCTAAGGATGCAATTGAAAGATATCTTATTTTTGGTACAAGAGGGTATTGAAAGTTGGTAATTTGGGATTAGATAGGATTTCTATGATATCTAAAGATCTACAAATTGAAACAAAGAAAAATTTGGCATAGTCTTAGAAAACTTAAAGATCAAATTACATACCAATTTTAAGTTGAAGTTAATAATTAAAGAAGGAAAAATTCCTATTGGAATATGTGCATTTCCTTTCAAGTTGATAAGTAACATTAATGCAATTTTTTTTGGATATTTTTTCACAATTTGTAAGTTAAATTAGACTAAATTTTTTTAACCATATAGAAAAATTAAGGTGGTACTTGTGTACAAAATTTTACACCAAGTATATAGTCAAATTAAGAGTTACAACTTATTGAAGCTCATTGATTAGAATTAGGGCTTGCAAAGAAAAGTCAAAATTATTTAATTATAAAAGTAATAAAGTAATTGGAATTTTTATATAGTTGAAATTGTTAAAAATAATATTTTTGAAGATTGTATATTAACTGTAAGAATTTTATAATATATAAAAATTAAATAAAAATATTATATTATATTTTTTCATAATATATAAAAATTAAATAAGAACTATAAAATATATTAGTTCTTAGTTTATAGAAACTTACATATATAATATATAAGTTTTATAGAAAAAAATTATAATTTGTAAAAAATGAAGATTTAAAGAAAAAAAGCGATTAGATAGGAAGCTTACAGGGAGAAGAATTGAGGCTTTGGACATTAAATGGTAGCTTTATATTTGTAGAAGTAGATGGATGATAAGGTGCTTGGATAGAACTTAGGAGGTTTGAAGTTCAAAACCTTATGATAGCTCATAAAGAAAGAAGGAAGAAATATTCTCTAAAAATCTTCAATTAATTTATTGAGGATATTTAGATTTCTGATACTTACACCTTTTATATATTCAAATTTATTATAGATTCATATATAGCTTCTCCTAAAAAAGAAGAAACCACAAGTTGGTGGTAGTGTAAAGTAAAATGGCATTAATTCTTTGAAATCTTCAATTGATTTTTTTTTTTTTTTTTTTTTTTTATAAAATAATATAGAAACTCAAATAAAAATAAAAATATTAAGATTTAAGATTTAAAATAGGATTTATGATTTAGGTTTTAAAAATAGAATAGAATTTAAAATTTTAAAAGGATGGCAATCTTCTTAGGAGAAAGATATAAGGACTCTCCAAAGAGGTTTTTGCTTTCTCATGTTTTTATTTTGCAAATATTTAATGAAGGGAGTTTGTTGATATGAGAGGCAAGTGAACTTACAAAGGATTCTTGTTTATGGAGTGTTGTTTATATTCTAAAGTTACAAGATAGTAGGCAATCAATAGCAATCAGAAGCTTGATATTTCTTCAAGATAAACTCTCTCTTTACAACAATAGATTTGAAATACTTTGGCATATAACTTACAAGTGACATTAAAGAGTGTAATAGGTTGTCAATTGGACTACCACCAAATTACAACAATTGTTCAACTATCTTTGGAATTATTTCATTGGAGTTTTTTTCTTAGTGATTTGGCCAACTATATATTTAAGTCAAGCCTTTGATGTAATTTTGTGGTTCAATGAGATCTATTTGAATTCTTTGCATGTGCATCTACCTTGAGAATTTGACACATATTATGATGCCATTGTTGTCCAAGTGCTTGCCCTCACTTCTTCTACCAATCCCTAAGATGGCTCCCAAATATGGTGGGATACATTTGTTGCATTGACTCTTCCATTAACAAATCTAAGTTATAACAAATCCAAGTTAGAGCTAACATGTTGACACTCCATTAACAATCAATAACTTAACTAATCAGCTGGTGTGTTGCTTTCAACATATCACTCAGATATTGTGGTATCCTTTATATTGCCATGTGCTTGTCTTTTTTGTCTTTTTATAATATATATATATATATATATATATATATATTAATCTCATCATTAGTGTCTAGCCAAAATTTAATGTAGTATACAAAAAAGAAAAAAAATAGAAACACAAACACACACATTAGGAAACATCTTAGTAGGTTTTAATTTCAGACAGATGTGCATTTATTTCTAAATTTGTAAGACTTAATTTTTAGCATCATTACAAACCATTGCTGCACAAGAATAACTGAGGAACATATAAATCATTATGTTTATTTTGTTTTATTTTATTTGACGAAACTGGTGTCTTATCTTTTAACAAAATACAAAGAAAGAAATATGGTGTTTATGTGGTAAGATATTTAAAATAAGACATTGAGCTTCACAAAGAAGCTTTGACGGCAAAGTCAGTTCAGATCAGGTCAGTCCCTCTCGGATGCATTCCGGCACCACTATCGACACGTAATTCATTTGAAATGTGGGTCCCTCGTGCAGACATTGTGATCAGATGTTTGAATTGCCGCGCGGTGAGCTAGTGCACCGCTTTCCAAGGCTGTTGGGCCCAAACCTGACACATTGCGGGGATCCAGCCCCCACTGTTCCATATTCTTGGTACCTTGTAGTTGTGAGATAGCGTCAGATACTGAAAGGAGCACACAATTCTCAGATAACATCTTTGCTTAACTTGCAAGAATTTCATGTCCCAATCGCCCAAAGATTTCTAGTTAATGCAAAACCCAAAGTGCAGATCTATTCATAGAGTTAGACCAACTAGCTTTACAAAAAGGCGAAAAAAAGACAAATCTCAACCACGTGTGAAATTCTAAAAAGTCTAAAATCCACCAGTAAAGGGAAATAATCCCGCATCTAATTTTAGACCAACCTTAGATTTAAGCAAACAAACATTCTATTCGGTTATCTTTCTGAATTTCAAGGTGCAAGAATTGACCCACTTGTTCTATTAAATCAGTATATTCTCAATACAAAGGCCAGATAACACAGAAGTATTAGAATATACAAGCCGCAAAAATAGATAAATTATGATACATTTCTGATATACAGATGCTGTAGAAGAACTAGATTTCTCACAGCATAGATTTTCACCGACAGGTTGTTAGTTGACAGTTTTTGAAGTGCAGTTTTCTTTTGAAATTTTCCAGGATGTCTAGAATGAGCGTAAGCAAGATCTCGGCTGACACAAAACTGGGGCTACGAGAATCTTGCCTGTGTGATACACTACCATCCCCATGAAACTGGCTATTTTAAGTTCCCCTTCTATCTATTCTCATACTTACAACTGACTTTCTATCTACGGTCATGGTTGTCAAGTCCATCTTTGCTTGAATCAAACATGGAATCTATGTACACGAGAATGAGGCTCATAGAAATACAAGTTGTGGCTTGTATAATATGCACTAAGCTGCCAAATGTTCACCGAATTCAACTGACGCTGATTTTCTCCAGAAGAGCAGAGGAATTTAGTACTGATCAGTTCGGACGGTCTGACCAGAACACTGCGCCACTCTTGTGTAGATGTACTCTCTTGAGCAGTTTTCTTGGGTTTAGGTTGTATCCGGAGACCACCACTTTCTTCTCCCACTGATCTGCTGTCACTGTCGTTACTCCTGGAGTCGCAAGCAATACAGGGAGGAAATTGAGGAATATTGGTCAAGAATAGAGCGTGTAGTTAAATCTAGAGATAACTGGACTGTATTGAGAATTGGAATCCATTGTAAGACTGAGGAAGTACTTATACCTTCGATGAGTTCCAAGGCGTTTTCGACTTTGCGCTGGCACTTGTCGCAGCAGAGCGGAGCGTAAATCTCCACCTTCTCCACAGATGCTTCCCTCTCTTGCTCGTGGTAATCGCTGTACCCGCCATAATTGTATTCCAGGTATCGCTGCGGTTCATATCCTATTGAGTATCCCCCACCCTCGCTCAGAGATGCGATCTGATACCCCGGAACACATTCCACTATCAGCATTGGAGCGAGCCTAAGGCACACTGAAATACTGTACAGCGTTGTTGCGAGCTACTAATCGACGTCAACCGAATTTCGAAACTTATTGTCATGAATTGCACCAAAATAAACTGAAAAAATTGAAGTGAACGAAGCTAAGCATGTGTGCTTACCTGCTCCGTGGGCGCATAGCCGCGTCGTTCATTATAGTAGTTCTGACGTCGGAAGTTTGCTTCATCCCTTACATGTTGGTTGAAAACAAGCGGGTGCTGCTGAATATTAATTACAGCTGCAGGCTGTTGGAATGTATACACGCAGTCCCTCACGTAATGATATGCCGGTGGGTTCACATAGTAGTCATTGTTGTTGTAGTACGCCATTGTGCCAGTCACGATTCAGCGGCTTTGATACTTGATTGATCTCCAAAAAACTCCAAAAGTAGATTCAATCTATCTAACTTGTGTTCTGGTACTCTTGGTTGGTTAAATATGTTGAAAGATGGTTTGCACCTTGAGATGGAAGAGAAATAAACCAAGAATGACGATGAACTGGAGCTTCAAAACGTGCAGTTCACGACAAAATGCATGATACACTCTCAAGGATGTTACCAACTGCACGTAGACTGCGGTCCTGACGAAGATGCTCTTTTAGACCTTTCTGCGTTCAAATGCTACACTATCGACTTCATGAGTTCTTGAAATTTACTTCGGATTTGATTTGAATGTGTCCTTTATACAAGCTCTAGTTTGCCTCGCGTTTCGTGCTCTACAAGCCTGATGATACAGGTTTCACTATCTGACTCGTATTAGGAACCTCCTCGAGAACGGTGGTTTGGTGCGAGCGTTTTTAGCCACTCCTCGTGCTACTGAAACATGGTTTTACTTTTTTTGCATGTGGGCCCTTTCGCAGACATTTCTGCAGACTAAAACACGGTACTGCAGTGTATTGGGTTAAATTAGAAAAAACACCAGTAGTTTTTGTTACGAGGAACTCAGCTCCTCATCCTCGCCGTAGAGCCAGAGACTCATCGAAAACGCACCAAATCTGTCAGTTGATACTGTCTGCACCGTTCCAACCTGGGCTCACAGGTTTTCGGAGCGGTGGCATTAGACGGAGAGAAAGGATGGGTAGAAATGGGAGACCATCAGGAAAAGTGTGTCCAGAGAGTATCTAAAGACAACAGTCCACGCACTGAAAGATGTAAATTGCTGGGGAATAGTAGGAAATGTAAATTTCATTAATTGGAGAGTAAGAAATGCAGCGCCCAACTGTGGACAGAAACATGGTTGGTATGTTCCATTCCTCTAGCGGAACCAATTCGTGATTTAGACAGGAAGTCACACACTCATTCAACTACTGGATTTTCAATGGTCAATTTTTTTTCAGCCAAGGGATTCGCATCTCCCATATTCTGGAAGGCATCTTTTTCATATGACGCCCACAATTGGCAACAGGGGTTTGCCTACACGTTTATCACCTACATGTAAGTCCAAGATTTTCTGAAGCATGGAGTATCGACCACGGTGTCGAATCTTTGTCCTGGATCAACTAATCTGCTGTGTATTACAGGAGTCAACATGATGATCAGATAGTATACTGGGTAAGTTTCTCTGCTATATCCTTGCAACAGGGTTTTCACCTCAATCAAGGTGCGAAGATTCGCGTGCACAGGCTCTTTCTGTGCTGAACACACCATTACGTAATACCAACCATGTTCCATTCCTGTTTCGGTTGGTATTACGCGATGGGTGGGAAACTTTCCCGCAAAATCCAGGTTGCCAATATTTAGGCGTGGCTTGTCCCTTGGATGGTCGGCAATTAGCTAGTCTTCAGAGTCGTTCCTCGATGATTGCTGGTTGGTTGCTTTTTCTCGTTGTTTACTACGTAGTCGTGTCAATTATTTCTACATATTTCATTGACTCGTGTACGGGCTTGGCACGATTTCAACTACGTACAGATGCGATACTTTTGTGGAGAATATGAACAAGAATTATCGAGGTAGAGATATAAATGGCTTTAGTGATCAAGAACATGGCCTGGAGCCTTTTTAACTTTCTATAGAAAGCAAGTTCGGCATGATTCTGTCCTGACTAACTATAAGGATGCAATAGTAAATCAACCTGTCAGCATGATCTTGGTACCAAAACAGCCGATAACAACTAGAGAGAACAAGGGACTCATTAAGATACTTTCTGGAGATTGTTTAAAAGTATAAACTACCACTGTTATAACGACCCTCTCTACAGAATAAAACGTAGTCAGAAACGACTATGGCTAACTACAGAGCATCGGCAGAAGCTGCAGGACGAACTTTAGTTCACTTTCATCGACCATAGCAAATGCAATGACCACTCCTAGAGCTTACTTCACCTGAACATTGCTTCTAAGGTTATTTCAGGGAGTTGCCTCACAAAAGACTCAACAGAGATTAAATCGGCTTTCCCAGATCTTAGTACCAATTGTTTACAACTCACCACTCTTAGCAATACACTCAGGAATAGTGCAAGCAAGCTTGAGCCGGTTGTTTATGCCCTGATTGCAGTCTCCGATTTTTTCACGACCAGCAAGGTCTCCCTAAGCAGGCGCCGCAACAAGAGAGACCCAACCAAATACATATTTAGGTGATTCCCAAAACTTCCATTTGAGAACAGAATTTTAAAAAGATACTAGAAACCCTCTCAAACAAACCTGCACATAAATAAATTGGAAAGTGTATTGAATAAATTCAAGAAATTCTGGATTCCACTACAAACTAGGCAACATTAACTTCAGCGAAGTTCTCAACTTACAGAACTTAAAGAAACTGGAATTACAGAACAAATGATGCATTGAATCCACTACATTGAGTCGTTAAAGAAGATTAATCGACAAGCACAATGGTATTAGACAGAAGTAAAAAGCAGCATGTTTAAGCTTTGACAAAACAAACTAGATGCATGCTGATGGTAACGCGGAATCTACACGTAATGTATTAAAAATGTAGACCGAAACTTCCGACACGTGAAATTTTTTAACCTATTGTACATACTCAAAAATGAAATCCAGAAACGAAGGTGAAGGAAGCCAACCCCAATAACGCCATGCTTGTTGTCTAGCCAAACTCATGTCGTGCATGTGATGAGTAATTGGAATATCCCACCAAACTAGTGCAAGCAGAAACTGGTCAAACCACTCATTTGAACTCTTGGCAGTAATTTTATCATGAATAGAAACAAAAATAAGAACATACTTTGGCAAGGCTACAAAAATAGGTACTGAAGTAATATAAAGCAATAGAAAGAATTCCTGCTTCGAGGGGAGAAAACGAAGACGCATTGTAGATGCCGAACCAGATGATATATGTTAAAGATTTATGTATATAAGAAAGAAGTAACTGGTTCAAAGCTGAATATCTGACAGCCATGAATACTTGCTCTAATACTTGCCTATAAAACAGGAAACAGAGAGAACATGAATACTCCATTAATCGGTTGCTGCCAAAAATTGTCGGATCGAATGAAAACTCAAAAGAAAAACAAAACTAATACAAGCAAAATTTGTAAAAGTAAACAAATCAGCAGGGAAAGTCTCACAAGCACCGCAGAAAGGTCCGGTGTCTACCCCATTGGCACAACATTCTCAGAATACAAATGCTATTGCATTGAGGTGGCAAGGACAGAACTTGCTAAAAATGGTTTGAATCAAACCATTGAATTTCATGAAAGCCATTGAATATTGAGTCCCACAACTTTAGTACACCGCTGCGACAACCAGTACCAGCATCAATAATTTCGGCACAGCACATTGAAAGAACAGACATAGATATCAGACCATTTGATTGCACGATATAATAGTTGGTGCAGGGAGTGATTACCATAGAAAGAAAGCCTGGACCGGTGTGCTAAGAAACAAAGTTCTCATCGTCAAATTTACTGCCATGGATGTTGGTGCAGCCATTTCCATCTCCCTTCAACAAAATTACCTCTGTGGATCAAGAAGCCAATGTCACGGTGAAATGTGGATGTTTTAAATCCAATAGAATGATTACCCTTCCACCCAAATCACATCCACCATGAACACAAAGCTTCATACAATCAAAATAAACTAGTTCACTGTACTGAACACACAAACTTTCTCACGCTACGGACTTCTGAATAGTTGGGAAACGAATTCAATGTGCAAAGAACGAAAACAATTGGTCAAATTGAATAAAAATAATATCTGAACCCTTCCGTGCATGATTGCCGGCAGTGCTCACCACTAAAGTATACAATTAGAAGATGGCAACAATTTGGATTCTTGCTTGGAACATATACAGCTGACTAGAGAAACAACCAATCCATAATCTATTGACAAGAAATTTAATTGATCTAGAAATTAGGGCGTCAGGGGATTCAAGTGCCACCTCCATAATCCATCAGTAAGGTGATACAGAAGCAGTAAAAAAGACAAAATCATGTCTGAAAGTGAACAGCGAGTAAAACTCTCTGAAAATTTATCCAGCTTCTCGTCATTGTAACACATAGTAAACCAAAAGATCATAACACAGGAATGTGTTTCTATAGGGATCAAAGCTTACTGTTACCACCTCCACATCCCCTTATAAGCAGACCTACGCAGAAATTCAAAGCAATATCTCACGACCAGCCGATCTCTGTCGTCTCATTTTCCAGGTGATAAGAATCGATACGTTGATGTTCACAACGAATGCTACGGCAGTGCAACAATAACACTGAGATCCTAACTTGATTTCCCAAAATGACCCGGTTGCAACAAGATGCAATTGCAACACACTGCTGGATTCAAGTCTTGTGCACTGCACCTGAAATTCTCTGAGGGCTAGGGAGCGATATCAGCTACGAGCTCAATCTTAAGGCGACCAGCAAGCAACCTGCAGACAGGATCATAGAAAAAGGCCATGGGGTTTTTCGAATTAGGTGGTCTCAAGTGCCATTCAACTGCATCTTCTCCTCCTTTTCCTCCTGCCTGTGCGCCCATTGCCATCCTCCTTTACCCCTCCTCTCATTCAACCGTGCTCGCACAACCTAGCATTCGATGCAGCAGAATGAAAAGCTGGCATCCTCTCCTGCTGTTTGCTTTTGAAATTCTAAAATCTTTTACAGCTTTTTCACATCTTCCGCTTCGTTACCTTGCTCCTTAGCAGCTCCAGTTTTCGATGCCTAAAACTTTGTACCCAGAAACGAAAACCCTAACCCAGACGTAAAGCTCAAAGGCATGCACAGATTTAGCCGTCCTCGCTCAATATTTTGAGACTGCATCCTTTGCTTCTCTTGGTCTACTACAGTGTAGAAACCGCCATTCCTGCCTGGTCCTATGTTTGAGTGCTTACATACTGTGAAAGGATTCTAAGCATCACCCAGTGTTGTACACTTTGCTGTACACCCTAGAAAATTGCTTTTAGAAGTGCATCGTCCCTGTCAAGCATCCTTTGCAACTACATCTGTATCCTTGAGCCCTTCATCCCCCGAAACTTTATTCCTAATGCCATGTGTAGACTTCAAAATCAGCTTGCAGAGAGGAATGTAACAATGAATGTTCATAATTTGTACAACCATGTTCAGTTATTGTGCATTTGGAAGTAACCTTTTTTAATTTTGAAATGAGCTTGTAAAGAAGAAAACCCATAATGAACATCCATCCTTTGATCTACTTTTGGTTTTATGGACATTATGGGATCATTTTGGTTCTTTTGTGACCAATTTGAAATCCAACAGTAAGTTAATAACCATAGGTGGACTTAAGATATTAGAAGCTTAATTGCACTCTAAATTAATATGTTGAAATAAGGGGACCATTAGATGAACATCCCCTTTTCTCATAAGGGCACACTTATTATTATGTAGACATTTCTATGCCACACATCTCATATACTTACAATAATATCATTTCTGCTTCAATATTTTTTGATAATTATATTATTACTATTAAGAAGAATCATGAAAGAAAAAATCTCTCTCTCTCTCTCTCTCTCTATATATATATATATATATATAATTTAAGTCTTTTTTTAGTACTTAAATGATTGATTAAGTAAATATCTTCTTTTTATTGCACAAATATTCAGTTTTATAATTTAAAATAATATAAAGAAGTTATTATTTTTATATGTACTTTATAAATAAAATAAAATAAAATAAAATATTACATAGTTAAGGTTTTAAACATATTTAATATTAATATTCTAAAATAATTATTGCTAAATACAAAGAAATCAAAGAGTCTTGAACCAAGATTGGAATATAAAAAAGATTTTGATAAGACTGAGGATGGCTTCATCTTTGTCTCTATATATATCAATTATTAAGAAGGCCTTTAAAAACTTTTTAAGAATTAGAAGACTTGTGGCTTAAGCTTGAAGTTGTAGGTTCTTTCTAATATGGCTTTTCAAAAGTAAAAAACTTGTAAGATAAGTTTTAATAGCCACTTAGCATATTTATAAGAATTTAAAAATCTATTATGCATCTAAATTTTTTTTTAAAGTTTCTTAAAGAAGATATTATCAATCTAACATATTATATCTACCTCTACTTTCTTCTATTTACTTCTATTTATTAGAATAATATGAGCATTTGTGACATTACCATCTTCCTTCTCTCTTTTAAAGATGACTTCTATAAGGATTGGTCAAATCTTTTTATAAGTCAATGAAATTAAAGATCTCCTTAATAGTGTGAGCAAGACAATCTAATCTTTGTTCTCCACAAAGAGATTAATAGGTTTCTTCAATCATTGATAATATCTCATCTCAAGGCATGAAGACTTTCTAATTATATTATTATTGTTCAAGATTTTGTAACTATCTTCAAACAATATATTTTGCATGCTATTAGGTGTAATACTAATTTCTAATAGTATCACTAAATAATAATTATTTATTACAGACATATGTGTATATATATATATATATATATATATATATATATTTGTCTAAATAAAAAGTGTCAAGTAGAAAATAAATATAAGTAGATCTGATATTATCTTATGGTGAAGCTTCTTAAAAGCTTCATAGATGCATATTTATCTTTATACATATTTATAATTGATTGGTAGATTAGAAACTTAGCTAAAAAATTAGTCATATATCGCACATGTGGATAGTTTATTGTACAAATTAATAATGTAGCACACATATAAGAAACTTGTTTTGCAAGTTAAGATACGTGTCTTGTAAATTAGACTTGTGTTGGAGGTTCTATAAAACATTGTCATGTAACTTTTCGTTAGATAGTATATATAGAGATAAGAGTGAAGCCTTTTTTTACTTTTGTCAACAGCTTTCTAGTCCTTAGTTTCATTTCAAGACTTTTTAGTCTTTTTATCTTTAGTAATAGTCATTCTAATTTAATATTATACTATCTTTGAATGATTTTTTAGTCTTTTTGAGTGACACAAGAATTTATTGGTCTTTTAGTTCTTTAAAGTTCATGTACTTGTGTCATGGACATACGCATGTAAGCCAGTAATTACATGTGTAAATAGATAGAAGTAAATAAAAGTAGATAAAAGTAAGTTAATTCTATAGTATTTGGTATGATAGCTTCTTAGAAGCTTCATAGACATTGCTTTGACTTTATAAGTGTCTTTAATTGACTTTTTGAGATTAGAAACATGGTCAACAAGTTGGCCATGTACCATACATGTTATTAGCTTGAACACCTAGCTAACAATGTGGCCTACATGTACAAAAACTTGCCTTGTAAGTCAAGGCATGTATCCTACAAAAACAAGACATATATTGGAGGTCCTATAGAACGTCGCCACGTAGCCTCTAGTAAGATAGTATATATAGAGACAAGAATGAAGCCTTCTTCACTCTTATCAACTCCTTTCTTGCTTCTAGTCTAGTTTCAAGGGTCTCTAGTTTTCTTGGCTTTTGGCAAAAGCCATTCCAGTTTCTTTCTTAATATACATATCAAGTTATTTCTATCTTGTCATCTTTCTTTGAGAGAAGTCTCACTTGTTTATTTATCTTTATCATGTTCTTGTCCTTGACAAATTGATAAGAGTATACTTACAATATCAAAGCTTTGTCTAATCTTGATTAGGAGTGGATTATCTCTTTTTCTTGATAAGACATAAGTATATTAGAAGTTGCGGATTACCCTCTTCTAAACTGATATTGTCCGCAGTATTTTTTTTGTTCTCAAGTCCTCTCTTCTATTTGTCTTGAGTAGTATTAGACATCTTCTCTTTTCTAAGTGTTATCATGGCAAAACTTGCTGAAATGAAAAGTGCAATGGCACAAATGCAAGAGCAATTGAAGGAGTTAATGCTTGCAATGCATCAACTCAATTTACTACCATAAGGAGCAACAAGATTGGCAGGAAGTGAAGATATAGAAATGATTGGAGCTGCTTCAACATCTGCACCAAATCATATCCCTTCTCCTATGGTAGAACGCCCTTTCAATGTTAGTGAACCAAGGATTGCCCTTCCCGAGAAGTTTGATGGCACTAGATCAAAGTTAAGAGTATTTATCAATCAAGTACAATTTGTGATTGAACTTCAACTCCAAAGTTATCCAACTCTAGGATTATAAGTTAAATTCATTGGTACGCTTCTTTCAAGTTCAGCATTATCATGGTTTTCATCTTTTTTTGAACGACGAGATCCAATATTGGATAATCTAGAGGCTTTTTTGGCGAAGTTTCGATCCATGTATGGAGAACATGATACAATTCGTGTTGCAACCAATAAGATCTGTATTTTGCAACAAGGCAATTGATCAGTAATGTTGTATGCTTCACAATTTTGACAACTTGTAATTGATATCAAGTGGGATGATGCTGCACTTATTAGCCAATTTCTCTATAGATTACAATATGAAGTAAAAAAATTAATTCTCAACTTACCTGATCCTCAAACATTGAGTCAAGCAATTGACTTTGCTCTGAAATGTGACAATTGCCTTTTTGAATTCGGATGTGAGAACCATACAAGTGGACCTCAATGTTACTATAATTCAATAGCAACACCAACATCTCTTCAACATATACATTCAGAGATATATGATATGCAAATTGATGAAGTATATTTCAAATCTCTTACTGAGCAAAAAAAGACTTATCATCATGAAGAAGGATTGTGCTTATATTGTGGAGAATCTAAGCACAGTGCTCAACATTGCCCAAAGAAGTGACGCAAGCATAAAATAAGGAGTATGGCGATCAAAGGAGAGTGTATGTCAGAAAACAAATTTGTCCAGCTACAATAGGGACCGTGCGGCTAGAACCTTGTACAACGCCTAGTGAAGGTCCTATCCTCTCCTCAGAACCCTCTCCATGTTTTACAATAAATGTTATTCTAGGACCTAAACATCTCAAAGCCTCTGCCTTGTTAGATTCAAGAGCCTCAACATGTTTCTTACATGAAAAATTTGCTAAAAGATATAGCATATTTTTAGTAAAGAAAACTAAACCTGTTCATGTAGAAATCATAGGTAGTCATCAATTATCTTCAGGAGATGTTATTCATGAAACCCTTCATATAGAAAAAGAAACTAATGGTCATAGTAGCTTTGTAATATTTAATATCATTAGATCTCCTTTTAATCCAATCATTTTAGGTTTATCATGGTTAGAAAAAAATAATCCTAAAATAGATTTGACTTCTTGTAGTCTTGACTTTTTTGAAAGTATAACTAAGAGTGTAGTTACTCAACTAAAAAGTCATAAGTCTAGTATAATTAAACCTATATTTATAGGTGTAAGTACTTTCTTGCATGCTATAAAAGAAGGATCACCTTATGTCATTTATGCCACACTTGTTTTTACTAGTGGAAAGACTTCAAGTAGCATTCCAAGCCAATATCATGATTTTTAAGATGTATTTGAAAAAAAGAATGGAGATACTCTTCCGGAACATCGTTCCTATGACTGCTCAATTGACCTTCAAGAAGGAGCACAATCGCCATTTGGACCAATCTACAATTTATCTCAAAATGAGTTGGCTGAACTCAAGGAGTATATTGAAGAGAATTTGGCCAAGAATTTTATACGCCATTTCAAATCTCCAATAGGAGCTCCAATTTTATTTGTGAAGAAAAAAGATGGATCATTGCAGATGTGTGTTGATTATCAAAGACTCAACAAAATCACTATAAAAAATAGGTACCCACTATCATTGATATTTGGATTCTTTGATCAATTGAATCAAGCTAAGATCTATACAAAAATAGATCTATGAAGAGCATAAAATCTAGTATACATCAAAGAAGGAGATGAATGGAAGACTACGTTTTGAATAAGGTATGGACATTTTGAATACAATGTCATGCCTTTTGGACTTACAAATTTACCAGCAGCATTCCAATATTTAATGAATAATGTCTTCTGGGAGTTTTTAGATGATTTTATTTTCTGTTACCAAGACAACATCTTAATCTATTCTAAGAACTCAGAAGAACATGAACTTCATGTTCGCCAAGTATTACAAAAACTAAGAGATGCACGATTCTATGCCAAGATAGAAAAGTGTATATTTTACACTACTCAAGTCGACTTCTTAAGATACATT